AGTCTTTACAATGGCAAGACAGCCGATCATATCCGCCGACTCTGAAAGCAGACACAGGTGCTGCTCAGCAAGTTAGATCCAGGTCAGATCCTTGTTAATTCACCATCTCGCATTAATCTTGTTCACCAGTTTTATTTACAAAAATATTCTCTCTGCCAAAGAAGAGATGGAAAATTTTCCTTGCAGGGCCAGCATTCAAAATTACTCATTATCTCCACAAGAAACCTTCATGTAATCCAAGAACAACTCTTTATCTGTTTATTAAAAATCTCAAATTGTCCTGGCTACAAGGTCTATGTTCATATGCATTTTGTCAGTATTTAGCATCTGCATCTAAATTTTAAAAAGAGGGGGATTAAGATAAGGTTTTATTAATTATGTATGACCCAAACACCAAAGACCCATCTCAGATTTTTACTAAAAGGTTAAAGATAAGTAATATTTATAGAACATTGGCTTTTAAGCACCACAGAACCCTCCTCAAAGCTGGATTGTACTTCATAGAAAAATCTTTGGGTGTTTTCTTTTTTGGTTGTAGAAATATCATTGCCAAAATCCTGACAGCTCGAGGGAGTGCCCTCCTCTTTTCTTTTTCCAGCTATTGATGCATATTTGGGATATTGTTTTTATTGTTTCCTCATAGAAAATAAGCCCAATTTTATGCTTGAAAAATGGTTACTTTTCAGAAAGATTATCTTTGACTTGAAATTTTAGGAAGTACACACTTAAAAGGTCTTTTAACTCTTCAGTAGTTTTTTTTTTAAAAAGTAAAGTAAAATTTTCTCCACAAAAAAATTTGCTTTAACTCTTGACACTATGACATGTTTATTGATTATTACTTATTTTTATTTGAAATGACCTTTTAAAGGACACATTCTTTGCAATTATGAAAATATATAATGTAAATATTTGTAAAAATTACAAAAAAACAAAATTATAATCACCCACAAATCCACCACCCAGATGTAATTGTTATGCCTATACTTTTTCTTATTACTTACACACATACCCACACACTCATTTTTTTTAAAGATTTTTTTTTTTTACTATTAAAAGCAACGATGATTTTAAAATCTGGTACATAAAATTCCTGATTCAAGTGCTTCAGGATGTTAAGAAGTTCTCCTCCACATGGTCATGTAGGGTCTCAGATCTTTTCTTTTAAATTTTTTATTTTATATTATAAGATAGGCAATTAGCAAGGTTGTAATGGTTTCAGGTGGACTGCAAAGGGCCTCAGCCATACATATCCATGGATCCATTCTCCCCAAACTCCCCTCCCATCCAGGCTGCACATAACACCGAACAGAGTTCCCTGTGCTGCACAGTATGTCCTTGTGGGTTATCCACTTATACACACTCGTTTTGAAAAACAACTCAGATCACACTCTATATACAGTCTAGTATCTGGCTTTTTGGCTTAAAATTTTGTTATGAACTTCTTTCTATGTCATTAAATATCCTTTGGGAAAAAACTTTACAAGGTCATATAGTATTTCATACAGAGTCACACCACATTTTATTTAAAAATTCTATTTATTTTTGATCTCTAATGTTTCTAATGTTCTGTTTCACTAATCAGAACGTGTCAGGGAAGCCTTGAGTGGAGTGGAACTGGGGCTCAGATGCTTCCAGGTTGTGGGCAGGCAGAAAGAGTCCTGGCCCCATAGGGCTCTGTTGCAATTACTGCAAATACTTGCATAGAAGCAGATGAACCTACTGAATTTACAAAAATTTGAACCGTGCATGGATACTTGCAAAAGTCTGAAGATTAGGGAGCCTGTGACGATTATCAACCTGCCCCACACATGTATCTAACTCCATCTAAAGAGAGAGAGGGAAACTTATTATAGATGAAAATGGGATCAAAATGAAAAGTATATCTTAGCATCAGGGCTTGATGTCAAGGGAGCATGGTGGTTCTGGGCCCAACATTCTATTTTAAAACCTTGCCTGTTCAGAGTTAGCACTCCTTCCATGCTGGCCCAGAGGTTCCCCTTTGGTCCCTAGAAAAAGGGCAGAGCTGCCTGCAATCCACAGAGCGCTTATTCTCTACATTTGGCATAGAGCAAGGCCAAAGAAGACATTGGTATTTGGCATCGACTTTATAAAAATCCTGGAAGTGAGGATGCTATTTCTTTGCAGAACCCCAAATGTAGCTCTCACTTGATCCTACTGGGTATCTAGCCTGCTTCGAGCTGATACTCGGCTTCTATAGACATGGGTGCCCTCCTCTACTCAGATCCTCATGGACAGCTGGGGCTTATTAGTGGTGAACAGGATTTTCCTGAGTTTGTAATCATTAGCAATACTACCCTCCTGAGGAAAGAGCTCTTGGCTTCACTCCAAATCAGAAGTTTTAGCTGCCTCAGGAGAAATATAAGAATTCCGGAAAACGTCTTTCAAGTGTTTGATATGTCTCCAAATCTCCTCGGGTCGCTGAAGATCACAGCATTTTCGGAAAGTTCCCAGTGAATATCAAGTTTGGATTTAAAAATTCCAGTAGTAGTATTATCTGCAACTAGAATATCTGTGTGATAAAAACTTCTTAAAAAGAGGTTCTCCAGGAGAAGTCTGGTAACAAACAATACAGCTGAGGTCTTGGAGAGATTCTACTCTGTGAAGACACAGAGGGGCAACGTTTATCCAAACGGCCTGTGCTTCACCACAAACACACCAGTATCATACTTGAGGAATTAAGTATATGATCCTGAGTTCACTTATTATTTTCCATGTAATTAATATGACAAATGTAGGAAGTGGATCAATCTCCCCTGAGGCTACTTTTGGCAATTCCACATGCCCTGTTACCATCTTATCGGTCTACTTTTCAGCTCCTTGGTGTTATTCATGTCACTGCTGCGGAACTTCATATTTTCCTCCTCTGGGTCTCCCTTCAATTTCCCAGCCTCTGCCATGGTACCTTATGCATGACCATCAGTGTTTCATATCAGTGTTTTTAACTAAACGAATAGCTGGTTTCACTTTCTGCCCTAGCTCAGATCAACATAGTCAGCCATTTCAATGATGTAGTCTCTTCTCTCACTCCGCACTGACCTCCAACTCTTGCTGCTTTGTTCAATTTCTTCTGCCCCACCGGTTGGTGGTTCAGAGAATCAGTGAAGCATGGGGGTAGGAGGCAGTTTAAGCATCAGAAAGTGCAGTGTGGCTGACTGGGGTCAACACAGCTTGTGATCCAATAAGCCGGATAGCAACTGGGGCTGGGGGTCAAATCAAAGGGGATTCCTCAGGGAACTATTAGATCAAACCCAAATGTTTACTTATTTATTGAGATTTCTTTCCCTATTTTTATTTCTAGCCTATTCTATGTTAACTTATCCTAATAAATGGAATGGAATTTTTGACTCATTTTTCACCTAATGCTGATTTTATAGCTATGATGAATGGAAGCTGTTTTTGTGAGCCAACCTGGAAATTTCTCTTAGCATGAGGCTATTTATAGTGTTCAGATTTATATCTTTTTACTCACCAATTTGTGTTTTGGGTGCTTTAAAACAACTGTGCTAATATGTAAGGTCCAAAATACTTGTATGCAAAAATTTGTCACTATAAGATACAGAAAAACCCTGAAATCACATAATTCCAAGATTATTATCTCTTTCAGAATGTATCCCCTCAGAACGGATATAGAATTCCTAGCACTAATGGAATTCTGAGATGGAAGCTACCTTTGAGATTATGTAGGCTGGTGACTTTCTCATTTCATAAATGAGGAGCCCAAAGTCAGAGGCTGAATGGAAACCAGAGAGCTCCTGACACTACTCTTGTTGTTGTTTTTGTAATAAGGAAGAAATTATACCCTGGGTCAGTTTTGCCATATGCAAACATCAGTTTACTGAACTTGTTCTAATTGTCTCCCTGAGTGGGAGGAGGATGAAATGATAAAAGGTATGTGAAGGGGCCCTGGAAGTTTAAAAGCAGGTGCAACACTCTATTGATTAAGTAAACATTTATTTGGAAGGTTGCAATGCAATGTGCCTAGGGTGTACTGGACAAAAAGAGATAATCAATGTCTCTAGCTAAAGAATTTACAAGCCAGGTAGAAAGGGAGATGAGTATGAGCTAGAAAAAAATTTTGATAGATACTATTCTAAGAACTATAAACAGTTTTGTGAAATATTAGTTATCGTGAAACTTTACACACAAGTTTGCAAGAAAAAAAAGGTGGGAGTGGGGCACATTTCTTCTCTTTGACTTTTCCAAATTCAGAAATGGAAAAAACTAATACCTTGTAATGGATGTGGTGTGTAGTGTGTGTGTGCATGTGCTCAGGCCTGTCAGATTCTTTGAGACCCTAGGGGACTATATATAACCTGCCGGGCGCCCGTGTCCATGGCATTTTCCAGGCAAGAATACTAAAGTAGGTTGCCATTTCCTTCTCCAGGGGACCTTCCTGATGCAGTGATCCAGCCCGTGTCTCCTGCATCGACAGCGGGTTTCTTCACCACTGGGCCACCTGGGAAGCCCTTATATAATGGATGCTTTGTGTCTTTCAGGTCCTTGAGAGCTAAGTGAGGATGCCAATGAGAACCCAATTCAGTGCCAGGGGAGAGCGTCACTTCCAACAGTGAAGTCACAGGTTGATGTGAGATGCCTGACTTAACAGCGCGTTCTAGGGCGCAAACACTGTTGCTACATTTCCAGCCTCGTCCCTAGTGACTTGCCGGCTGTGCTGAAACAGTCAGAGCCCACCAGGCCACACTGCATCAGGAGTGCTCGTGGCAGCCTTTTTTCCAGGCCCACCCTGAAGTCCCACCTATGCCGGGACGCTCTGGAAGGAAGCCGAAGGGCGGTGTGGAGCAGCGCCTGGCCCCTTCTGTCCTCCAAGAGGCCACACCCGGCACAAGGCCCCCATTGTGTCTCGGGGAACAGTGACCCCCACAGTCCTGCGCCGGCTGGCCTTCTTCAGGGGAAGCCAGCGGCGCTGGCTCCCGCGAGAAGCCCCCTCCCCGCGCCCCTCCCGCCGCGCTGTGGACGCGCGCAGGTGCTGGAGGCCGCGCCAGCCCGGGACCTGCCGACTTGGGCCTGCCATGGAGCACATCCGCACGCCCAAGGTGGGTGCCACGGGTGCGGGCGGACTAGGGATGCTGAGCGGGCGGGAGGCCCGGCTTCCCTGCCCCGGCGCAGGCCGAACCCGCACCGCGAGCGAGCGAGCGAGGCAGGAGGCAGCGCCCGAGCATCTCCCGCTTCGCCGGGAGGCTGGCTTCTCTGGAGCTGCCGCCCAGGCCTGGCCTTGGCTGCTGCTAGATCTAACCTCTTGTCCTTGGGGGGTGCGCGGTGGACTGAGGGCTGGATGGAGGGAACCCTAGTTGTCTGTTGAGTAATGGGGCTGCTGATAGGCTGATAAACGCTCCCTTCTGGTCTAGTACTAGGTTGCTGCTTTTTTAAAAAAAAAAACCTTTTATTTTTTCCCCCCCTGTTGGTTGCTCTGAGCAGTGGAAAGAGAAACAAGCCTTCCTAATGACAGGTGCAGGGAAGCGAGTTAGGTGCAGGTGCGTTGAAGGCACTTGGGAAGCTTGTTGAATCTAAGGCTTGAGACCCGCCCTTCTGCTTCTGCGTCTTCAGGCTATCTATCAACTGCAGTGGACCTTGGGCCGAGTAGATGACCCGTGTTCGCTCTAGTCTAAATGTATTATCTGTCCTTCCGCCTTCTTGCGTTTTCCAGTGGGTTGCAACTTACAGATCGTCTGCTGGTGTGTTTTGAACAACAGCAGCTCCTACCAGCTCGACAAAAGAGACTGGTTCCAGGTCTTTCCAGTTAAATAACACTGGCAACACTGACTCCTGTACCAAACCTTCCTTCTCGTAGTTGTACTAGTGATACAATTTAGAGCGAAAAAGGTGGCCGACGTTCCCGATAAAAACCCTAAACTAGTGACAAAACCTGTTTCAGCAGTCAACTGGCTGTCTCTTGTCACTGCCTCTAGAGCGCCTTGCCTTGGCTGGTTGATCTCTTCAAAACCTAGGCCCTTGACCGCGAAGTCAAAGCTGAGTGGGCGGGACGTAAGAGGCCCCAGGGCTCCTATTGATGACAGGGGGCCATTGCTTTGCAGTAAGTCCAGGAGGAAAAATTTATTCCTAAATTCTGGGGTGGTTCCTAAGTGCCTCTTTGTAAAAGCAATTTTTACAATTGTCTCATATCAGTGGAAGAATAAAATCTTTTAGTTCGCTACATAATGTCAGTTCCAACAGTAAAATTCAATTGTATTGATTTTGCACTGTGCAATTAAATTGTTGCATCACAGTCGGGAAATTGTAAACTTAAAGGAGAGTGCCATAAACCACAAAATAGATGGCTCAAAGCTTTCAGGGTTTAAGTGGTGCTAAATAATTTATTCTGGAGTGAGGAATTTAGCTCATGCACTCTCTGCCCTTTCCAAGGGCATCCTTTTTTTTTTTCATGATGAAGGGAGCTCTTGATAAAAATGATGTCTGATGTGAATGTCAGTAGTAATAGGGTGATATGATATCAGGTGCTTTTTTTTTCCCCTATGGAATGTGAATTTTGGGAGTCAAGGCCTTTTCTAATCTATTCAAACCTGTTGTTTATAAAACCATGTGTGCAAACCTGAACAGCAAGCAATATTGTCACTTGTTCCTCAAACTAGTTTTCATAAACACGCCGTAAGCAGTGTAGTACTTCAAACCAGAAATCACCTGTCAGGAAACAGAAAGAAATAGCGGTTGGGGAAGGGGTGGTTGGAATGGGAGGTTGTCTGAAATGTCATTGAGTTGAGAGTTATTAACATTTAGGAGAGTGCAGGTGGAAAAAATTAAAAGTTACAGAGGTTGGGTGGATCCAGTCTGTTTATTCATTCAAGTCATTCCACAAGTATTTGACAACCTTTCCTGTGAAAGGTTCTGTGTTATGTCCTGGAAGGCCCTGGTCTGAAGAGTTGCTGTTCATTCGCTCAGTCGTATCCAACTCTTGGCGACCCCATGGACTCTAGCACGCCAGATTCCCCTGTCCTTCACCATCTCCTGGAGATTGCTGAAACTCATGTCCATTGAGTTGTTGATGCCATCCAACCATCTCATCCTCTGTTGTCCCCTTCTCTTCCTGCCTTCGATCCTTCCCAGCATCAGGGTCGTTTCTAATGAGCCGGTTCTTCACATCAGGTGGCCAAAGTATTGGAGTTTCAGCTTCAGCATTAGTCCTTCCAATGAATATTCAGGGCTGATTTCCTTTAGGATTGACTGGTTTGATCGCCTTGCCATCCAAGGGACTCTGAAGAGTCGTCTCTAATGCCACAGTTTGAAAGCATCAATTCTTCTACGCTCAGCTTTCTTTATGGTCCAGCTCTCTGGAAAAATCATAGCCTTGACTAGATGGACCTTTGTCGGCAAAGTAGTGTCTCTGCTTTTTAATATGCTGTCTAGGTTGGTCATAGCTCTTTTTCCAAGGAGCAAGCGTCTTTTAATTTCATGCTGCAGTCACCATCTGCAGTGATTTTGGAGCCCAAGAAAATAGTCTGTTGCTACTGCTGCTGCTAAGTCGCTTCAGTTGTGTCCGACTCTCTGCAACCCCATAGACGGCAGCCCACCAGGCTCCCCCGTCCCTGGGATTCTCCAGGCAAGAACACTGGAGTGGGTTGCCATTTCCTTCTCCAATGCATGAAAGTGAAAAGTGAAAGTGAAGGCACTCAGTTGTGTCCGACTCTTAGTGACCCCATGGACTGCAGCCTACCAGGCTCCTCTGTCCATGAGATTTTCCAGGCAAGAGTACTGGAGTGGGGTGCCATTGCCTTCTCCGAAAGTCTGTTGAGGCAGCTGTAAATCTAGAGAGGAATGTGTACCCAGGACAGTGGGCAGAGAGGTCAGTGGATAGAGGGTCCACTCTACGATAAAGGGTCAGGGAAGACTTCTTCAAAGAGCTGAGTCTTATCACGCAAGATGCCAAAGAAGATCAGGAACATTGGAGATGCTGGCAGGCAGTTGTGTATGTATGATGTGTTGTAATACATCATTACAACTTCAAAGATGCCAAAGGCCTTAACAGTGATAAAGATAGAAATGATGACACCATTCCTTGAGGTTAAACAATATCATTTTATTTTATATTTTAAACACACTTAAAAATTTTTGTCTTTAGTTTTTCTTTCTTCTAGTTTTATTGAGATAGAATGTACACATGGTGCTGTATAAGGTGGATGGTGTGATGATTTGACTTACATACATCATAAAATGATTACCACAATAAGTTAATGACCACCCATCATCTTATAGAAAATTAAAGAAATAGAAAAAAACTTTTTCTTGTGGTAAGAACTCTTAGAATTTATCATCTTAACTTTCATGTATAACATATAGCAGTATAAATTATATTTATCATGTGATGCTTTCCATCCCTAGTAGTTACTTATAACTGGAAGTTTGTACTTTTTGACCATCTTCCCCCAGCCACCCTCCTTCCCATAGCCACAGATTGGATCTCTCTTTCTATGAGATTGTTTGTTTTGAGGTGCGGGTAACAACATCACGGTGTTAGTTCCTGTTACACAACACAGTGATTGCATATTTTTGAAAATTTCATTTGACATTTAAGAAATATTTATTTATTTTGGCTGTGCTGGGTCTTCACTGCTGCATGGGCTTTTCATCCAGTTGCAGTGAGCAGGGGCTACTCTGGTGTGTGGGGCTTCGCATTGCGGTGACTTGTTGCAAAGCACGGGCTCTAGGGCACACGGGCATTAGTAGTTACAACTCCCAGGCTCTAGAGCACAGGCTCAATACTTATGGGGCCTGGGCTTAGTTGCTCCGTGGCATGTGGGTTCTCCCAGGACCAGGGATCGAACCCATGTCTCCTGCATTGGCAGGCAGAATCTTCATCACTGAGCCATCAGAGAAGCCCTGATTTTCCATTTTTTTAGTACAAAATTGGTTTTCACAGTATAAGTGAAAAAGGGGAGAATACTACCGAAGAGCTTGTGTTGTAGAATGCATAATTATTGATGGTCATATTCATCTTTGGTTTTGGCTTCCATTATATTCTGGGTAGTGTTGAATAGGTGTCTTGCCTTGTATTGTATGATTTCATGTGTTAGATGAACAGTGAGGCGCATACACGAAGTTTATGTGTAGGTTTGACGTGTGTTTACCATGTGGGTACAAGGGATTTATTTTAAGAGGAAAGGAAATGCGTGTATAATGTGCAGTTGTTTTCCTATTATAATGAAAGTCATTCATTTACTGTGTAAACTGCATGATATCCATCACACTGTGTGCTCCACTTTAGTCTCTGGAGTGCAGTGTAAAGAGACAGATGCCCATGAATAATCTGGAATGTTTTGCACATTTTTCTCTCTTGATGTGTGTGTTTATGTGTGTGTGTTTAACTGAAGCCTTTAATAGAGCATATGCTAAACAGGGTTTCTTCTCCCAGAATGGTTCCTGTATCAGAAAGAAAAAATATTCCAAGATTGAGCTAGTTTACAGTTGGGTTGAAGTGAGGACATCAAGGATTACCTGTATTCATCACAGTGAACTTTTTGTTTCTACTTCACTGTCAGGCTTTCTTTGACACTCTGAAAACTTGCTGGTAAGAAAAAAAAAACCTTGCAAGAAGCTTAGGGATAATTTGGGTTCAAGTGTTAGTTCTACAGAAAACCTTCAGGGCTTTCAGAAGCAGCTTGAAGTGTTTTGTAGGGTGTGGGTTTGTATTGGATAGGTGCTAATGAGTCTAGCTGGGATTCTGGCAAAGTAGTCTCTACTTTTTGTGTTTTGGCCTTTCCAGAAGACATTTTTCCCCCACATGTGTACATTTGAGTTGTGAAATAGAATACACGATGACCTCCAAAGCTCCAAATTGACCTTGAAAATGCCTCTCTCCCTTTCCACCCCCACCCCCAGTTCTGAGCCGTTACCCTCACAGCCTCCTAGCTGGTCTCCCAAGTTCCTCTTTGTTTTTCTCCAGTCCCACCTCCATGGCGGGAGTTGGGTGATGCTTTTATGACACAAAGTGGTTATGTTACTTCCCTGCTGGGATTCTTGGATGGCTTCGATTTGTACCCAGGATAGGGAGGGAGAATCCCTGGAAAGGCCTGCCTGGACTGAC